CCCGCCTGCGCCGATCCCCTAGGCTCCGCCAGCGGACACGCGCGCCTCGCCTCGCCTTCACCATGTCGCCAAGAGTGTCGACGTCGCTGCACGAGCCCACCTGGTCGGCACAGTCGCCATCTCCGATGGACAAGTGGAGTGCGTGGCCATCCACGGCCACCTGAATCTCTCCGTGTTAATGCCCTCATGGGTAGCCTTCTTCTCCTCCGCCTCGTCCAGCTCGTGGGCGCACGGCACGAACAGCTCGTCACCCTTGCGCGGCAGCGCGGCGACCAGCCGGCCCGTTGGCAGCTCTGCAGCTGGCACCTCATCAATCCCCTGCTCCACGTCATCCTCCTCCTCCGCCTCCTCCTCCTTGGGCTCCTCCTCATGCTCCTCCTCCTCTTCCTCCTCCTTCTCCTCCTCTTCCTCCTGCCTCCCTGTCCCCGTCCTCCCCACTCTTCCCCGCTCCTCCCCTGATCCTCCCTGCCCTCCCCCCCCTCGTCCTCGTCTCAAGGAACGCTGAGCTCCATGAGCAGCATGTTCTCCGTTGGCTTCATGCAGAGCTCGTGGCGGAACGCCTTCACGACTTCGCCCTCATGGCATCGGGCATTGCCTTGGGCCTTGCTAGCCCAGGCGGCGCCGCATGCCTGGACCCGTTCGCGAACTCCAGACATCCACCTCGTCCTGCAGCTCCAGCCCGTAATAGCTCGGCCGCGACGATGGCCTCGCCGAAGGTGCTGAAGTGGACGCCCGTGCGGGGCGCGAGCCGTGTGCGAGGATGCCAGACCTGAAGCCTCTGCTCCGAGCAGCCGCCGCAGTTGCTTGGCTCTGCCCCAGGTCCCCCCCCGCGAGCGCCCACGCAGTCTCCGGATCAGCGTCCGCGCGCTAGCAGCAGCTCGTGACTGGTCTTCCATTGCGGCCGCTGGCGCGCCCGCGCCGCGGCCGCCCTCGCGAGGGCCTTCTGACGCCTAGCTTTAAGTCGGGCGCGTCCCTCTACAGGAGGACTATTCAAAAATGGTCAAAACATAGCCAGGGGACGACTTTTCGACTATTGTTGACTATTTTTGAGCCTTTTTTTGGGACTATTTCAACTCTCGTCCACAATCCGCCTGTAGGAGGACACGCCCGACCTGAGCCTAGCTCCCTTGAGCCAAACTGGCTACGAAGCAGGAGGTGGAGGAGGAGGAGTCAGCCAGACTGCCAGCCAGGGAGGCCGTCAGCCAACCACCAGCAGCCACCGAGCACAGACGTGCTAACCAGTCAATCAGCACAAACCAGTCACTAAGTTGCTAAGTTGTTTACGCATGTTGTCCGTTATGCGTATTGCCTAGTTGGTTATTGACCAGAGTGTGCGTTCTCATGGGCGGCATGTTCGCGATCGCGTATGGCCTTGTTGATGCGATAAGCAGTCAACACAAACCATACATTCGTATTGTGCTATTTTTTACGTCTTCTCGTCGGCTCTGAAACCTGGTGCGTGTAGACCAATGTGGCCTTCCCCTCGGCACTTTCAAGGTCTTCCACCTCATGCTGGTGGCTCTGCTGCTTGGACGCAGCCTGCTTGTTCTTCCCCAGCGCTCCCGCGCCGGCCTTCACGGGCTGATCGGGCCCTCTCTCTCTCTCTCTCCCTTCTCGCCTTCTGATGTTCCAACCTACGCTAGCCTGAACTACCAGAAGTAATTCCGAGCACCAAGAAAGTACGGAAGCTCCATGGTTTTCACGTGTCGGGCCCTGGGAGACATTCGTTTGACATTGTTTCGACACTGTTTCGAAATCATTTCCAGGATGTGGTCCTTAAGTACGATGGGAGCAACATGATTATCGTCTTCTTTTCTCTTTCGCCCTCGTGCCTCAGTTCGCCTCCGGTGCATCCCGCCGCTCGCTTTGACCGGCGCCTGACCATCTTGCACCACCTGGCGTTCGCGGACTTGCAAAGTGTTGACCAATGCGCGCGCGTTCGGATCGAGAGGGGATGAGTGGAAGAGGGCGCGGCCATCTTAAGGAGAGGGAGGGAGACAGGCAGCGCCAACAGCGCCGTTTCCATGGAGAGGCTGGAGGGAAGGACCAGGAGAGGCTGCTGCCCAAGGTGGATGGCTGGCGCGGTATTCCTGCATCACCGTAGCGGCACGCGCTACCAGCACTCGTGCGGAACATGGTTGAGTATGGGCGTGCGTTTTTTCTGGCATTGCGTGCCCCCCAGGGCCTGATCTTGGCTTGTGTACCAGCTACGTGCTGAACAATATTGACATGTTCTTCTCTTCTTCATGAACTTTGTTGATATTGGCTACTTGTACCCCCCCAGGGCCTGATCTCGGACATGATCAGCAAGCTGGAGGACGAGGCCAGCCCCAGCAGATCCTGTATCAGATTTCGGCTTCCCTTCTAGCCATTTCCCTTCCCCGTCGCTCCAACCCTCCAGCCATTCATTCTCGGGATGATGCTGATGATGATGATGATGCAGATGTGTTCCTGGGACCCAGTGCCAGGCGATCCATGGTCGAGCGAAACCGGACGAGTGTTTGTCCACTCGATCGTGGATTGCTTGGCCTTGGGTCCGTTCCCTCCAAGCAGAACAATTCCTCCCCTTCGATTATGAGCAAGAGCCAACAACAGACGAGAGGGACGGAGGGAGAGGGACGGGGGGGAGGGATGGAAGGGGGAGGGGGAGGAGGAACGGTGCTGATGATGCCAGTATATTTTTGCTTGTTTGGTGTGTGTGTGTGTGTGTGTGCGGGTGTGAGTGTATGTATGTGTGTAGGTGTGTATATGTATACGTTTATCTGCGAATGCATGTAGGGGTGTATGTGTATGTGTGTGTGTATGTGTATGTGGCTATGTGTGTATACGGGTATGTGTGTATGTTGCATTTGTGCATGTGTGCATGGGTCAGTGTGTGTGTGGGTGTGTATATGTGTGTGTGTGCGTATATACGCATGCATGTATGCATACGTGTCCGTATGTATGTATGCATGCATGCATGCATGTATGTATGTATTCATGTATGCATGTACGCATTTATGAATGTATGCTAGTCTGCGTGTTTCTATGCATGCATGTATGTATGGCTGCACGTGTGTATACATGCATGTATGCATGTATGTCTGTATGTATGTATGCGTATGCATGTATGCATGTAGGTAGGTAGGTAGGTATGCATGCATGCATACATGCATGCGTGTATGTCTGTCTGTCTGTCTGTCTGTCTGCCTGCCTGCCTGTCTGTCTGTATGTATGTATGTATGTATGTATGTTTGTGTGTATGTGTATGTGTATGTGTATGTGTATGTGTATGTGTATGTGTGTGTATGTGTATGTGTATGTGTATGTGTATGTGTATGTGTATGTGTATGTGTATGTGTATGTGTATGTGTATGCATGTATGTGTATACGTATATGTATATGTATATGTATATGTATATGTATATGTATATGTATATGTATATGAAGTATATTAATGCATATATGTGTATATATATACACATATATATATATATAAATATGTGTGTATATATATATATATATATATAGATATCCCAGGGGACGAGGCCCGGGGGCCCGGGACCGCGACCTCGACAGCGCATGGGGGGAACCGGGCGTCGTTTTCCTTTTGTTTTTACGGGGTTTCGGCGTCCCGGGGCCAACAGGGCCCCAAGAGGCTGCAGGGAGGCCCCAGGAGGCCGCAGCGATGGCTCCAGACGCTTTTCAAGACGACTCCCATGACGCCAAGAAGGCCCCCGAAGGCCCCGAAGACGCCCCAAGAGGCACCCCGAGAGTGGCCCAATAAGCAAAAATCGCCGATTTCCTTTGGGAAAACTGCTATTTTTGGCGTGTTTGCCTTTTGGGCGTCCACTGCATCCAGACGGCCCAAGAGGCACCCAAGCCGGTCGAGGATGCCCTCCAAGAGGGGGCCAAGACGGCCCACGAGGGGGCCAAGACGGCCCACGAGGCGCCCAAACCGCCCAAGAACGCCCCAAGGCGGCGCCCAAGATGGGGACGAGGAACCGGAAAGCCGGGCCTGTTGGCCCAAGAGACCCCTAGGAGACCCCAAGAGTCTCCAAGAAGGGGCCGAGAAGCCCCAAGAGGCCCCCCATGAGACCCGACAAAAACAGCAACATATGCTCCGAAGACGCCCCAAGAGGCACCCCGAGAGCGGCCCAATAAGCAAACATCGCCGATTTCCTTTGGGAAAACTGCTATTTTTGGCGTGTTTGCCTTTTGGGCGTCCACTGCATCCAGACGGCCCAAGAGGCACCCAAGCCGGTCGAGGATGCCCCCCAAGAGGGGGCCAAGACGGCCCACGAGGGGGCCAAGGCGGCCCACGAGGCGCCCAAACCGCCCAAGAACGCCCCAAGACGGCGCCCAAGACGGGGACGAGGAACCGGAAAGCCGGGCCTTTTGGCCCAAGAGACCCCTAGGAGACCCCAAGAGGCTCCAAGAAGGAGCCCCGAAGCCCCAAGAGGCCCCCATGAGACCCGACAAAAACAGCAAAAGAGGCTCCGAAGTCGCCCCAAGAGGCACCCCGCGAGTGGCCCAGCAACCAACAATCGTCGATTTCCTATGGGGGAACTGCTATTTTTGGCGTGTTTGCCTTTTGGGCGTCCACTGCATCCAGACGGCCCAAGAGGAAGAGGCACCCAAGCCGGTCGAGGATGCCCCCAAGAGGGCCCCAAGACGGCCCACGAGGGGGCCAAGACGGCCCACGAGACGCCTAAACCGCCCAAGAACGCCCCCCAGGAGTCCAAGAGGCCTTTCCGGGGAGCCTCGACAGCGCCCCAGGAGGGCCCAAGACGCCTCCCAGGAGCACCCAGAATGCGAAAGGATGGTCCAAGACGTTCCCAAGCAGCCCAAGTCAGCCTTCGGACGGCTCTCGAGGCTCCCAGTTGGCCTCCAAGAGACCCCAAGAGAGGTCCGAGAGGCGCCCTGGGACGGCCCGAAGAGGCCCAAATCGTCGATTTCCATTTGTTTTTGCAATGTTTGACCGCCCCAAGACCACCCATGAGACCCTCAGGACGGCCCCA